TTCCCCTTCCCCTTTCCCTTCCCCTTCCCCTTCCACTTTCCCTCCTTTCCTTTCCTTTCCTTTCCTTTCCTTCCTTCTTTCTTTCTTTATAAAAAGATATTTTATTGATTTCTTACAGAGGGGAAGGGAGAGGGATAGAGAGTTAGAAACATCAATGAGAGATCATCGACCAGCTGCCTCCTGCGCACTCCCTACTGGGGATGTGCCCGCAACCAAGGTACATGCCCTTGACCGGAATCGAACCTGGGACCCTTCAGTCCGCAGGCCGAAGCTCTATCCGCTGAGCTAAACCAGTTAGGGCAGCATTCGTTCTTTCTGACTGCTGTGAGGACGATGCAGCTCCATGCCTCCCCCCTCATTTCTGGGGGTTTCCTGGCAATTTCTTTGATGTTCCTTGGCATGTAGCAGGGGGATGTCCAACTGCTGGCTTAGGCAGACATCCCCCAAGGGGTCCTGGACTGCAAGAGGGCGCAGGCCTGGCTAAGGGGCTACCCCCTCCCCCAGTGCATGAATTTTGTGCCCTGGGCCTCTAGTTCGCAAATAAGATCATAATCTGAAGTACAGGGGCTTAGGATTCAAACATAGGAATTTTAGGGAGACACCCTTCAACCCTTAACAGGGAGTATCATTGGGGAAAGACCACCTTTCTACCCCCATATTGTTAAGTAGCTTTCCTGGAATGAGGAGGAAGGCATCACAGATACTTCGTCTTCCTCTCCATGCCTCAGGAGGCCAGGATTTCCACAGCGGCTGGAACTAGGTCGTCTGAGTGCTAACAATTATCCTACACACTTCCTAATGTGGGCCCTAAGTACCCACCTGCCCTCAGACAGGGTCAGGAGCACGCGGTCATTTTGAAAGATAATTTCCTCAAATGAGAAGCGAAGCACATAAGCCGTCGCTATGTGCCTCCCTCCGGCCCCTCCTCAGAAGCCGAAGTGTGATTGAATGTATTTTAGGGACTGAAGTTCAGAATGTGACTTTCCTGTGCGGAGAAAAATAATCGGTCAGAAAGCACTTCGGAAAAGGCACAGCAGGCAGGTCAAATATGTTCAAAGACCTGTCCTCGGCCCGCTTAGCTGGTCCTCTTGACAATGTCATTCAAACGCCAGCCTGTGATGGGGGTCACTCCCGCGCTGTGGCTGTGGCCTTGCAGTCGCGGGAGGGCGGCAGGGGTTCCGGTGCCCGGGGCCCCCTGGAAAACCCACCTACAGCAGCATCGTGAAAGCGATCGACCTCAGAGGCGAGTGACCGACCTCAGAGGCGAGTGACCGTTTCTACTCTCCTCCAGCCAACCTCCCTCCTGACTGCTTGCCCTGGGACCCCTTTTCTTTTGAATGCTACTACCATGCTGCTGGTCAGCTAAGTGCTGAGACAGTGGTTCTCAGCCTTCTGTGAAGTCTCAGACCCCATTGAGTGTGGATGGAAGTGATGGGCTCTCTCCCCAGAAAAAGAAACGCATGGCTATTCACACCAATATTTACTCAAAACTTCAGGGGGTCTTCAGGCCCTCCTAGCTAAGTAATCTTGATTCTTCTCTTTTATTTCCTAATAATAGCTGCTCCAAAACCTTTAGTGGCTCCCACCGTCAATAACATATGTCCATATCTCTTAGCCTGGCACCTAGAGCATACCATGATCTGACTACAGCCCGTCTCTCTAAAACAAATGAGTTAATCATGGACACAGACAACAGTGCAGTGATGGCCGGGGGGTAGGGGAGGGTATAGGTGGGTAAATGGTGATGGACAAGGATTTGACTTGGGGTGGTGAACACACAATACAGTGTACAGATGATGTCTTGCATAATTTTGCACCTGGAACCTCTATAATTTCGTTAACCAGTGTCACCCCAATAAATTCAATAAAAAGCAAAAATTTAAAAATTAAACAAAACATCAACATGCTGCAGAATGGACTATTAATGAGGATTGTTAGAGCAGGAGTTGAAGAGTGAGAACCCAGCATTTTTTTTTCCTGTGCTCAGATAGGGAAATGCAGTATAAATAATAATAATGAGGAGGAGAAGGAAAAGAAGAAAAAGAAATATTATTTAGCAATTTGTATGTGCTGGGGACATCATCTCAGTCCAGTGAGGTTTGTAATATTATCTTCATTACACTGGTCACTAAATAAAGGTCACTCATTATACGTCATGAAGCTGGAACTCCAATCCAGTCCTATTTCCAGAGCCCACGTTTTGTGATTTTGACTATAAGCATTATATTTCTATGACAATGAAGACTTTAAAAAGCAAGCAGAATCTTATAAATGGTGAATATTTTATGATCAAGGCACTCTTCGTACTTTTTGTGGATCTGCTGAGAAATTTTTTGCTGGGATGGACCCTGAGTTTGGTTAAATGCACATAAAACCACAATCTGTGCCGCTTTCAATGCATTTGCCCCCATAATCCACTATGAAGTGTGGCAGGTGGCATGCCCTCTATCCTCCCCCAGCCCAACCCTATTCCAACACTCCTAGGAATGCCTGAAACTTACAACAGCCATTCCTACCATTTAGTTCTTGTCATTGATTGTGTGCTGAGCTGCCCACCTAGAGTCTCCCCTTCAGGGCTGAGTCACCCATTCGTCCACCTGCTGGGAGAGTTGGCTGACAGCTCTCAGATGAGTGTCTCTTGGAGAATTGCCTTCCCTCCACTGAAGAAAGCTGTCTTGCTCAAGGTCATGCGGTTCTCCCTGGTAGCAGCCACTTCCCATGACTGTCCAGTGATGGGGGCTGGGGCTGGGGGAGAGCCCACCTTCGGTGCTCAATGGGCAGGCTGTGCTAGGGAGGAGTGGCTCCAAGTCCTAAAGAAGCAACAAGTGCCAGGAGAAGTCAAACCCTCTTCTCCCAGCATCCCCATCCCAGCTCCTTCACCCAGCCCTCCCCACACAACACTGTGTGCCTGCGGTGTGGGAGCAGGTGTGGGCTTCACTACAAGACTGAGAAGGAGAAAGAGCTCACTGACGTCACGTCATGGCATCAGGGGATGTTGGCTGGTGTTTGCCTTCACCTCTAGCTGGAGAAATAGAACTTGCAGGCAGAGGTATTTTATAACATGTGGCTCTGGGCCAGGAGCAGAACCATTTAGCCATTTGGGGGCAAAACAGCACAGTTTTATAGGATGTTTTAGGTTTTGTTTTTTTGTGCGTGACTTTCCTACTAAGTGCTAGAGACCGTGCCACTATTGTGCATGCTTTACCTCATTTAATCTTTACAACAGCCCTTTGACACCAGGGTTGTATTAGCTGATTAGAAAACTGAAGGCTACAGAGATTAAGGAATTGCCCCTGGGACCCGCCCCTTGTAAAGCACATCGATCAAGTGGAAGCCAGGTCTATCAGGAATTTCAACAACTACTGCTCTCTGCTGACTCCCCATATAGTTGTAGCTCGCTGTAATCTTTATCCAAAGAGCTCGTGCGACACGCTTAAAAAGACCCAGCTACTCTCTTCCTAGCAGCAGTGCCCAGCATAGTGTTTTGTCCTTAGAAACTGCATTGAATTAAGAGGTGCTAACACCCCGACTGGCATAGCTCGGTGGTTGAGCGTCAACCTATGAAACAGGAGGTCACGGTTTGATTCCTGGTCAGGGCACATGCCTGGGTTGCAGGCTCGATCCCCAGCTTGGGGCGTGCAGGAGGCAGCCGATCAATGATTCTCTCTCATCATTGATGTTTCTATCTCCCTCTTCCTTTCTCTCTGAAATCAATAAAAAAATGGTTTTAAAAAGAGGTGCTGACAGATCTCTTTAATAATAGATGTCAATGTGATGGACCGCAAGCATACTGAGAAAGGCAGAGGAGACGTTTTCTCTCACGCTGTAGGAAAGAACTGCAGGCTCACCCTCACTCATCAGAGCCTTCTATTTCCTATTACAAAGCAGAACTCACAAAGTCAGGATCCCAAGGTGATGCATTTGTCTCTAAGTACAAATGAGTCCCACGCGGTGGTGGCTGTGGAGGTAAGTGGGGAGGGGGCAGCTGTGCTGCTGGCACAGCTTCCTTCTCAGCAGCTCCCCTGCTGGGAAGGGGAAGAGACCTCAGCTGAGGCTTTGGCGCCTCACTGTATCCCCAGCTGCTGACGCATTACCTGGCACTCAGGAGGCTCTGGGTGGATCTGTGTTGAAGGTCGAGGCACTGTTCTGGGGGAAGTCTCAGTACTGGGACTCGGAAAGAGAAGGAACCTTGATTGGACACCCACTGAGCATCAGTGCTGCGCCGAGCTGTGTGGGGCCCAAAGGTGGATCCAGGACTGTTACAAAATGTGCAGGGCTCAGTGCGAGATAAGAATGAGGGGCACCTGCCCCTTGTTCAAAAATTGAGACTTTCAAGATGGTGATAGCAGCGTATTAAAGCAAACGTGGGACCCTTCTGAGGATGGATTCTTGTGTGCTTGCACAGGTCACATACCCAGGAAGTCGGCCCTGGGTCGATTAGAAAGTTTCTGTTATCAGCTTCACTGGTGTGGTTCAGTGGTTGAGCATCAACCTATGAACCAGGGGGTCATGGTTTGATTCCCAGTCAGGGCACATGCCTGGCTTGTGGGCTGAATCCCCAGTAGGGGGCTTGCAGGAGGCAGCCGATCAATTATTCTCTCTTATTGATGTTTCTATCTCTCTCTCCCCCTCTCCCTTCCCTCTGAAAGAAATAAAAATACATTTGAAAAACGTTTCTGTTATCAGAGGGCTCTCACCTCAGTGGGCAAGACAAAAGCATTCACGGCGATGATTTGGTGTGATAAATAATAGTGTGTGTTGGGTGAGGGGGGAGTGGCATGAGGTATTAGGAGAACAAAGACTCATTTAGACCCCATACCAGTATTGTTATCTCCTTTTCTTAACGAAAATATTTTAATGTTTTACCTGTTTAACAGCTTTTAGATATATTCACATATCATACTATTTGATTCACCCATTGAAAGTGTACCATTTCAAAGTTTTAGTATATTGATAAAGATTCGCAACCATCACCACAATCAATTTTAGAACATTTCCATCACTCCGAAAAGAAATCGCATTCCTATTAGCAGTCACTCCCCATAGTCCTCCGCCCCTCCCAGTCTAGGCAACTACTAATCTTCTTTTTGTCTCTTTCCCACTTGCCTATTCTTAGGAGTGGAATTGCTAGGTTCTGTGGTAATTGCATGTTACTGCATTTTTTAAACAGCGTTATTGAGGTACAATTCCTATACCATAAAATTTACCCTCTTAACATGTACAATTCAGTGGTTTTTGTATATTCACAGAGTTGTGTGACTACTATTACCTAAATTCTGGAACATTTTCATCACCCCTAAAAGAAATCTCACAGCGCTAAGAAGTCCTTCCCCAGGACCCCTCCCTCCCATGGATTTGCCTATTCGGTCTGACATTTCATATAAATGGAATCATACAGTACGTGGCTTCTGTGTCCGGCTTCTCTCACTTAGCATAATGTTTTCCAGGCCTATCCACGTTGTGGCATATAGATGATCTTCTGTTTGTAGAGGAGGAAACCAAGACTCTGGGAAGCTAAATGATTTGTACAGAGTCACACACTAAGCCGGTGGTCGGCAAACTCATTAGTCAACAGAGCCAAATATCAACAGTACAACGATTGAAATTTCTTTTGAGAGCCAAATTTTTTAAACTTAAACTATAGAGGTAGGTACATTGTTATTAACTTAATTAGGGTACTCCTAAGGCTTAGGAAGAGCCACACTCAAGGAGCCAAAGAGCCGCATGTGGCTCGTGAGCCGCTGTTTGCCGACCACAGCACTAAGCCATCGTATCATTGGCGGTACCAAGTTTGATTGCTTGGTTTTAAGATAGTGTCTAACAGATCTCTCAATGGTAAAATCCATTTCCCTTCGGAATTATTAATTGATCTGTGGGATGCTACTCTGAAACCATATGATTGTCTTGTTTTCCAACATCCTTTCCCTCAATGGCTTTAGCGCCCATGAATGAGGCTACTTTCAATCAATCATTGTATTGGCAGTTGCAAAGTCTAATTCTGTTATTTGCCTACATGTATTAGCTAGCATGCTTGTGAATCACTGTGAACTTATAATTTTTTTTTACATTTTATTTAATGTGCTATAATCCATTACCATCATTAACTTTTTGATGCTCAAATTGTCCAAACTTTGGCAACTGGGAGCTCTTAAAATAATTTGAAAAGTCTTTATAATAATCTATATGTCACAAAATATGATAGGTTGGAGGCCAATGAAACTCTAAAATGTATCCCTAACCGGTTTGGCTCAGTGATAGAACGTAGGCCTGCGGACTGAAGGGTCCCAGGTTCGATTCCAGTCAAGGGCATATACCTTGGTTGCGGGCACATCCCCAGTAGGGGGTGTGCAGGAGGCAGCTGATCTATGTTTCTCTCTCATTGATGTTTCTAACTCTCTATCCCTCTTCCTTCCTCTCTGTAAAAAAATCAATAAAATATTTAAAAAAATAAAATGTAGACTATATTCACCTACTTTTTGGACAGTTTGTTGGCATAAAATGTTTGCTACCTGAAACAAGTTCAGAATCTGTTGACAATACCTTTGATTTCCTTAGAACAGCGGTTCTCAACCTGTGGGTCGCGACCCCTTTGGCAGTCGAACAACCTTTTCACAGGGGTCACCTAAGACCATCCTGCATATCAGATATTTACATTACGATTCATAACAGTAGCAACATTACAGTTATGAAGTAGCAACGAAAATAATTTTATGGTTGGGTCACAACATGAGGAACTGTATTTAAAGGGCCAGAAGGTTGAGCACCACTGCTTTAGAAATTATATGGTAGAACATTTTTTTAAAACTTGATGTTGATGTATTGTAATAGGACTTCTTCCGAAGAAAATCAGTGAATTTGTATCTTTAGATATGATTTGAGTCTGAAACAAGAGTTTAAGTGTCTTTAACCCAACTTTTTAAAGTGGCACAATTTGAAGAGTTGGAGAATTAATACAACTGCATTGGATGCCAGAAATTTCATTTCCTGAGCAGTGCTGAGGACTGTGAGAATAAAAGGAAACTCGAAATAGCCCCAAATGGATAGGATTGGGTTGGGTTGCAAGTCATAAAAAAACAGATAGTGATGGCTTCACTCCGCAGGGACTAAATTTTTTCTCTTGCAATGAGAAACCCAAAGGTGGTTAGTTTGGTGACCTCCCCAGGCCTTCCTCTTTCTTTGCACGCCACCATCCACAGTCTGTCTCCTTGATTACGCAATGCTACTGAACCTCTAAGCAGCGGTTCTCAACCTGTGGGTCGGGGACCCCTGAAAATACATCCTGCATATCAAATATTTACATTACAATTCATAACAATAGCAAAATTGCAGCTAGGAAGCAGCAACGAAAATAATTTTATGGTTGGGGGTCACCACAACATGAGGAACTGTATTAAAGGGTCGCGGCATTAGGAAGGTTGAGAACCATTGCAAGGCATTGCGCCTGTGTTCTAGGCCAGGTGGAAGAGAGGAGGAATAGGGACCAAACTGAATCAGTCCCTATTAGGAAATGTTCTAACAAGCCCCAAGATGGAAACAAGTGTTTATGTCTGTTGGCCAGATTGGAACACGTGGACCCCTCACCTGCAAGGGAGTCTATGTTAGAAGAAAGCAAAGGAGAAGAGGGCTACCGATCGCTGTTGGTACCCAATCAACAGGATCCACAGCCATGTAAGTAGCTGGGCTTCTTTTAGTTGATATTTCATAAAAGTTACATCTAAAGAAGTTAACATGGTTATAGTCTGTCCGCCTTCCACTCATAAAGCAAAAATATATTTTTTAGCATCTTCTCTGTACTGTTACTTCATTGAGA